GCTAAATCTTACCAGAAAAAGCCCAAAACCTCACACCCACCTAGCAGCCGACGGACAGGGGAGAAGAGTAGAGCAGATTCGGGATTTTCTGGGTTAAGGGAGAAGATTCTAAACCCCCAAATCTTGTGATTAAGCAAGAAAGAAGAGAAAATCACCAAGCTTTACCGGTTTTCTCAAGTGAGATGTCACCGGCAGCTGGCTTCTTTCTCGGGTTGCAGGGGCGAGGAAGAAGAAGAGCAGAACGTGCAAGTGGCTGGGAGGAAATTTCTGGGTTTAAACCTTGTTCTCCATCAAGAAAGAAAAGGGAAAACTCAAGCTCTTTACCGGTTCTCAAGAGGGAAGCTTCAGCGGCTTTGGGGGGACTTTGGGGAGGCAGAGCATCGGGGAGAAGAAGAAGATGAGGAAGAGCAAAACACGTGGCTGAGGAGAGAAATATCAGCCTTGATCCTTATCCTAATTTTCTTTCTTTTAAGTCTTTGAACTTTGAAAATATTTGTTATTAAATTCATTAATAATATTTCTTCACAATTAGGTACCTAACTCACTTTAATGCTCTAGAAATTTTGGGGTATTACATCCACTCCTCCTAAAAAGGAGTTTTGTCCCTAAAGTGAATGGCTTCACGCAATCTAAGACAACTAGTGCCCATCATATGACAACCATCATATGGCCATAGCAGTGCAGAATCAATCAATCAATATTTCAAAAAAAATCAAAGCAACGGAGGGAATCATGAAGCCACCACTACAAAATTGCTATTTGCTAATCAAGGGACAAACCTTTTTCACAGTCATGAACCCCAAATCAGACTCTAGATCTTTTCCAAATCAGAGAGAGTCATAACAAAATCAGAGACCATAAATCCCTATACAAACAGAATGCCGGGAGGACAGAGCAAGAACCAGGATAAGGCAGAATTATTTGAATTTAAGAGAAACCCAAATGAGATTCTTACCAAAGCTACAGAAAACAATAGCTTAACTATGCTATGAACCCAAAATAAAACGAGCTAGCAAGGAATGGCATAGCACGAATTTTGACACATTGATCGAATTGAGACCTAAATCATGGCCTCCAACCCAATGGGTAGCTTGTGAAAGAATAGCTCAAAATTCCTAAAGAGTGCTAGCGTAAGCCAAGGAAAATGCTTTAGAAAAATCCATGTGGACAAATTTCCCATTTTCGCAATAAATTTGGTTAGCCAGATGTTTTCAAAGATATAACTTAAATTAAGAATTTAGAAGATTAAGTGAAATCAAATCAAGGAATTACGGAGGATCTAAACGTTTCTTGCATAAAATTCGAGTTCCAAATAATGGCCTCTATAACTAACATTACATTCCAGTAACTTAAATGTATTCCAAGCTCTAGGATAAAACATCAAGAAAACTAAAGCCATTTTGAGGTTGGAGACTCCAACTTAAATTTAAGACCTTCATAGTTTTAATGGTCAAGAAACAGCACATAGCAAAATCAAAGGTAAATCCCTAGATTAGGGGGACATATATACAAAGTCCAAAAGATTAGGTTTTCACAAAGGATAAAATGTGCTCAATAGTTCATCTCAAGCATATCCTTAAAGTACCATTTTGTCCTAGAGAAGACGCCTGAGCTAACAACTCCTTCATTTGTGGCAAAGGACACTGTAGCACAACACAGGAGGCATATAACCACCCAAATGTTCTGCAACCCTAAAGGGTATGGTTTGGGTTTTGCACCATTTCATCCACTGATTCTCAATAATAATCCACAACAAAGCAAGCTCTAGATGAGGGATGTCATAGCTCTACAGGTTTCATGGTTGGACCCTTTGTAGGTAACTAGATGCAAGTAAACCAACAAGGATTTCTAACAAAGAAACAACTGGATAGCTGTCACAAAACTGGTTAAATACTTTAAAAGTCAGGCTAAACACAAAACAAATGTCACTCTAGAATGACAATTTATATCAAACTAAACAATCTAAACAAGGACCACATTCTGCGCACCAAATTTTTAACACAAAATAGGTAGCAGCATTAGCATCAACAACAACAATAACAAGAAAATCAATCTCAAATACACGGCTAACAATTACAAAGGTACAATAATCAGATTCACTTCACAGGGATGAGTACTCATCACTGCCCTAACAAGCCAACAACAATCTCAATCTCCACCCTCCAATGGCCATTTGGGAAGCAGGAGATAACTTCATGCCTCAACACAAGTAACTACACTCGAGGGTTTGCGGCGTGATTATGTGGTGCTCTTGACCCAAATCAAGACCCGGCACTCATCAAACACAACATGACAAGAAATCTAACAATAAGTACAACTAGAAGGTGGAACCCCATTCGAGACGGATAAGCATCACTCTAAGTATATAGGATCATGAATGGATGAATGCATGTATATGCATTTATGAATGAATGCCTTTATGCGCATGCATGTATGAATGCGCATGTGTGCATGCATGAATGCTCATGTGTGCATGCATGTATGCGTGTATATGCTCATGTATGTCTATGTTTGCATTCATATATGAATGCCCAAATGAATACTCAAACAAACAGACCTAATGTGGAAGGCCTTATACATCCTGCCACAACCAACACGAAGCATGCTATCACAAGGAACCAAGTTTCAAACAAGGTCTTAAAGGCATAGTTAGTAAAGATTAATTTCAAAAATTCTCACCAACAGCAGATAACAGGAACTAACTGAATTACTATCTCATCAAAGTGAATAAAAAAAAAAAATGCAGGCAACATAATTTACCTTGAAAATCAGCAAGGTATAGCTAGAAACTGATATGGAACAACAATTACATTTTGCCTAAAGACCTAACCAACTGTGACGAGCAGAATTTTGCAGTTAATTTCAAAAGGTAACAAGGCTGCTATTTTTCTTAAGTCTAGCATCAATAAATCGAAATGTAATTCACCACATTTTAAGTCCACGAGAGGACCTCATGCTGATGTAACTTCTTACCAGAGTTTAGAGTGTAGAGACACTCCAAACCACAACCCAAGGTTAATCAATAATCAAATCATGTTTAAGCAAATAAATATCATTTTAACTTCAACTACAGCTACCAAGAGTCGTAATCTAGGCTTACAAAATAGAGGATTTGCCCAAAACAGACCAAAAACAGCTGAATAAAAGGGCAAAATACTAGTCAGATTCTAAACACAAAGATTACAACCAAATTTTCTCCTTGGACATGGCAGAACTGGTTTCAATGCTTAACCGAAAAATTAAACTCTATCTCTTAGCTTTCTATAAAACTAGGAATGGCTTTAATCCAACATCTACACAAGAAGTTATGTACGTAATACTGCTCCCAGGCCAGGCTGCTAGAATTCAAATCAATTACATATTGATTGAGCTGGAAATTTTCAGAAATTAAGGTAGTTCCAAACTAGAGTTTAATATAAATTCCATGACAATTTAAGACCCAAACAAAAGAACAATCAGCCTTGCACACCTCAAACAACGCAGAAATGAGCTCAAAAACAGCAACTTCAGGTATGGACATCTAGAAGCAAGTCTAGGCAAAAATATTTGGTAGACTATTTAGCGGAAAAATTTCACTCGTGTGAAACACTATCTCCTTTCCTGCAAAAGCATTTGGATATGTACAGAAACTAAGTGGCATCAACCACAGCCTAGACATTGGCATGACATAGGCACGTATAAAATATAGACTCAATCCTAATAGGATTTCAATCAAAACATGAAAATTCCTGATTGATCATTGTCGCTTCACATCTAAGTTCATTACACAGGCAAACCAAGTTATCCACACAAAAATCATCAAATATCAAACAGATATATTGAACTAGAGTCATACGATTGAAACACGAGAAATGAACCAATTTAATTACCATTACGAATGCAAAATAACTTATTTTAAATCTAAAACAGAAGCTTACAAGCAGATTCACACAGACACTAAAATCATCAACAACTCCAAAAACTGAAGGGAACTGAAGATTTAGAGAACGAAAAAGGTATCATGAATTGGAAATGATCTCAGAAGTGGAAGGAAGAGGGGAGGAGCTGAAGAGCTTAGAGTCCCTCTTCATCATACACCCAAAACTGTAAGCCTAAACGCAAAACAGATTTGAGCCTAAACACAATATCACATCATTAGAAGATACAATGACACAAGGAACCATAAAACTAAGTCAATCAATTTTGCAAGAATTTTATCAACATAGCATTAAAATCCCCAAACACAAATTCCAGATTTATCATTATCATCTCAGTTTATCATCCAAACTAAAAGTTCCAGAACTAGATCAATTTCACCAACATTTACAATCAAAATCGTCCCTTGTATAACCCCATCACTCGTCTCACCACGGTTCTAAGATCCATTGGCTAGCCAAGTCCAAAACAAATCCTAGGTAATTAATTAAACCTAGACTCTGACATCACAAAATTTTAATTAAATCTAAGCTCTGATACCACAAAATCTGTCACGCCCCAAAACCCAAATCTGGGGACGTGGCAGACGCCGTGCACTCGTGAGATGAGTCCCACAAATGCACAAGGCCCGGAACTTATCCAATTCACATCTGATACCACAAAATCTGAAGATCAAATCTTTAAAATTTCTCTGAGATCGTAAAATCTCCAAATACACTCTAGCTTACAAGATTACGATTTATTTCTAAAATCTATATTCAATCTCGAAATGGCTAGCTTTTTAACTTGTTACTTCCCGTGGTTTCCCCGTCCTTGGTTTCATTTCCTGAAATGGTGGACAAGGAAAACTATGAGATAAACTCAGTAAGTAAATATGGAGTGCCCCTTATTAAACTTATAGCATGCCAATAAGTGCAATCACAAAAAATGGATACAGTACAGGAACGAAATAGACGTCTCCTCTATAGGTCACGACCAGTGTTATAAACCTCCCACTGGCAGGCTACAGAAATTACTAGTGTTTAACCCCCACTAGCAGGATTACAGAAGCGAATCGGTTCTATCAATAACATATCGACATGTGCCGACATGTGCTAACGTTTAACCCCCACTAGCAGGATCATCAATAACATATTGACATGTGCCGACATGTACTAGCGTTTAACCCCCACTAGCAGGATCATCAATAACATATCGACATGTGCTGACATGTGCTAGCGTTTAACCCCCACTAGCAGGATTACAGAAACATGACCACATCAAAGACATAACAGACTGAAGTTAACAGAAAAACATAATTCACGAATCACTTTCAGATCATCAGGACAATTAATTAAATTCCAAGTAGGCATGCTCAATTTAATGAAAAGTATAAAAATTTCCACTTCAAATCAATCATACTTGTGTAAAACGGGTTTAGTCCCGCCACCACTTCAAAACAAATCAAAACATGTTTTTAAAAACAGTACGGGCATTACCATAAATTTACTTACCTCACTTGCTTAAAATCAAAGGCTCGATCTCAATGCTAAATTGACAGAATGATCAGGAACCTAATCACAATATTCCACAGTTAATACCTCACTATCACAATTTCATAGTGAAATCATCATTAGCACTACCCCTAATTACAGTGCTATTTCTATCAATCTCCACATAACCGGACATCTCCAAATTTATTCTTATATCACAAACTAATCATTTAAATCCCCGTTAATTGTTAACCCTCGGTGTGTGAACAGTGCCCGTGAACAGCACCCCGTGAACAGTACCTTCAACTTCCAAATTTGCAAAACCATAGCTAATCTCACGGGATTTTTCTCCAAAATCACAACAACCCAATTCAAGCTAATTTCCTACTTAACCACACTTAAAAACATAGCTTAAAGCTACCAAAATTCATTCCATTTCTCACGGCATCACAGGGAGAGCATAACTTGGCAAATCACAACTCACACACACGAGATTTCTCACACAAAACATCACAGCAGCTACTTCAAGCTAAATTCTACATAATCAAGCTTAAAACACATTTAATTTACTGCCAATTCTTCCCCTGTTTTGACAGAAAATTCGGACAAGGCAGCAGCTACATGTATAATTTCCAACTACTAAATGGGTAAAATTCAGCCTTGGAGAAGCTAGCACATACCGGAATTCCTCTCTTTTTTTTCCGGCCAGCAGAACCCGCACCAGGCGAGCATGGGGGCTGACGGGATTTTGGGGAAGAAGCTCACGGCTCTACCAGAAATTGGAAGGGAATAAAGCAATTAAAGTAAACCCAACCTAAATCAAGGTTAAAGAGAGGGATTCATGGCTAAATCTTACCAGAAAAAGCCCAAAACCTCACACCCACCTAGCAGCCGACGGACAGGGGAGAAGAGTAGAGCAGATTCGGGATTTTCTGGGTTGAGGGAGAAGATTCTAAACCCCCAAATCTTGTGATTAAGCAAGAAAGAAGAGAAAATCACCAAGCTTTACCGGTTTTCTCAAGGAAGATGTCATCGGCAGCTGGCTTCTTTCTCGGGTTGCAGGGGCGAGGAAGAAGAAGAGCAGAACGTGCAAGTGGCTGGGAGGAAATTTCTAGGTTTAAACCTTGTTCTCCATCAAGAAAGAAAAGGGAAAACTCAAGCTCTTTACCGGTTCTCAAGGGGGAAGCTTCAGCGGCTTTGGGGGGACTTTCGGGAGGCAGAGCATTGGGGAGAAGTAGAAGATGAGGAAGAGCAAAACACGTGGCTGAGGAGAGAAATATCAGCCTTGATCCTTATCCTAATTTCTTTTCTTTTAAGTCCTTGAACTTTGAAAGTATTTGCTATTAAATTCATTAATAATATTTCTTCACAATTAGGTCCCTAACTCACTTTAATGCTCTAGAAATTTTGGGGTATTACAACCTCGGTATATCAGATGAAGCTATCAAATCTGTGCTAGTAAGAGAAGAAGGGAAGCAACAGAAGCCAGTTTATTATACCAGTAATGTATTACATGGAGCTAAAATCAGATATTCTATTGTAGAGAAAGCAGCCTTAGCAGTTGTCACCTCGGCCAGGAAGCTGAGACCATACTTCCAATCACATCCAATCATAGTCATCACAGATCAACCCCTCAGAAAAATTTTACAAAAGCCAGAATACTCAGGAAGATTGATCAAATGGGCAGTTGAATTGGGGGAATTCAAGATAATATTTCAACAGAGATCTGCAATCCGAGCTCAAGCACTGGCAAATTTCATCGTAGAATGCACCCCATGTCACTCAACCCCCAATCCCGAGCCCAATGACTTGACCTTATATGTTGATGGAACATATAGTAGGAAGGGTTCTGGAGTTGGTGCTCTCTTAATTGGCCCAGATGGATATTGGAGTGAACATGCTCTGAAATTTAACTTCGATGCAATATACAATATGGCTGAGTATGAAGCTTTGCTACTTGGTCTACAACTAGCATTGGAGTTGAAAGTCAGGGCGATCCAAGTGTACAGTGACTCCCAACTTGTAGTTAATCAAGTCAACTCAATCTGCGAAGTCGTTGATCTTGTGATGGTGAAATATTTAGCCTTGGTGGCTAAGCTGAAGTGCAAATTCCAGAAATTCTGTCTAAACAAAATTCCCCGAACTGAGAATGAACAGGCAGATTCACTCTCTAAATTTGCCTCTGATAGCTCTTTAAGCTCCATATCAGTTTTTGTGGAAATTTTAGATGAACCAAGCTTCATGAAGCCACGAATGATGGAGATCAGCACAGGCCAGGACACACCGAGCTGGACTGACTCAATTACCTCTTTTTTACTAGACATGATAGTACTTGAAGACAAGCAAGAGGAAATGAGGTTGAGGATGAAAGCATCTTTGTATACACTCGTTGATGGGGTCCTCTATAAGAGATCTTTCTCACTCCTTCTATGGTGCTTGAATCCCTATGAAGCTGAGTACGCACTTCGGGAGGTGCATGAAGGTGTCTACAGAAGTCACATTGGTGCTCGAACTTTGGCTCATAAAGTCCTTAGACAAGGATATTATTGGCCCAGCATGTATAAAGATGCCACTTAGTTCGTACAGAGGTGTCAGAAATGTTAGTTCTTTGCACATTTAACTCACCAGCTAGCAAAAGAACTCACTAATCTGATAGCACCTTGGTCATTTGCTTAGTGGGGACTTGATCTTTTAGGACCATTTATGAAGGGAGTAGGAGGTGTGATGCACCAAATACGCACTACTTTTAGGCAAGTGAACCTAATCGATTATGCAATATAAGATGAGTAAGATATCGTTCCCTCGAGGACTATCCTACACTACCAAGACCCTATTAATCTAACCTAAGTTGAATTAACCAATTAATGGGGAGAACTAAGCTATTTAAAAGAAAACTAAGTCGACTAAAGAAAATTAAACTAAAAAATTTTCTAAGTTAAAGAAACTATGAATGAGAAGGAACTAGGGTTTGGATTTCATTTAATTTTGAATTATGCAACTATTTCATTAATTTAATTCAAGTTCAAATAATAGTGTTATTGCATGAGATGACGGATTTTCCTAAATTAATTAACCAGCTTTCTCAAGTCAAGCTAATCCTTCATTTGTTTGCTAAATTAATCAATCTCTATGTAATTTTAAACAAACTAATGAGCATTAAATTCTATGAAAATCTCTAGCTTAAGAAGGGGGAGCTACTAACTCTCTTCTCTTCCTCCACTATCACATGTGAGCTAATTACCTCTCGGTCTCATAGTCTAACACACG